TTAAAGGGCGAATACGTCTGCCAACAAGTTGTCTTCGCACTGCTTGTCCCAAGTTGTCAATAAGTTTGGAACTGTTAACAATTTGTAACCTTGTTGATATTATCAGACTTTTTTTTCTGTGTTGGTGTAATGTACTCAGGTGAATATGATGCTTTTGATGTTACTCTGAGTGTTTATGGGCTAGTATTGCAAAGGTCGTAGGTTCGATTCCCACCGTGGCCAGGCATATTTTTCAAGCCTGCCCGGTGTGGATATACACTCAGAGTAACATCACAAGCATCATCACTAATCAGACTTGTTGCAAGGTTGTCCCAACAAGTCCGATTGCAAAGAAAGCAAGTTACCAAAATTCTATAAAGGAAATTATTAAGTCATTTTAAGTGATCTTTACAATGCAATCATAAACATTTGGGGTGAAATTTCGTGTCATAGGCACTTTAAAGTAAGACTAAATATGAACAATTCTATTTCAGAACCATCCTCAGAGATAAGAAAAACTAGTTCCATAATATTCTGACACTGCAGAGTATACAAGGAAAAGTGTTCTCTGCAATGTCTGAATAATATGAAACTAGTTTCGAAACGAGAAAGCTGGGGATTGATAGGGATACAACTACGTGAAAAATACAAGGATTAATGGCTACTAACTTCACGACGAAGGACCTTCGCCAGAAACGACGAAGTTCTGCTTGTATTTTTCATGTAGTTGTAGCTGCAAAGGTAGTTGTATCCACAGCTTTCTTATTATTGACAAGATGAACAATTTCTGTACAAACCTGAGATTATAGGATTAAAAATTGTACTATATTTTCCATAAAATACATACATATGTCAAGCTATCGATTGATTAAATGCAGTCTACTTTTCTTGAAATACACTGCTGCTAAAGTAATTGAGTGCCAAAAAGTAAAATGTGCTTAGCCCCTAAAATAAGGACTCGTCACTTAAAGTTTTTACTTCTAACAATTGTATATCACTAGCTGTTTTTGACTTGAAAATAATTTCTCCTCTTTGAGTCAAGGTACATAGCAATACGAACAACACAATGGCTTCAACTGCAACAAAGGCTGGTCTAAAGAAATTGTTTGGAACTTATGTAGCTAGTAAACGGGACAAAAAAATATGCAAAAACATTTTGATCATAACATGGCGTTGAAATCAGCTTTTGCATGTTGGTCAGAGAAACTTTGTTATTTCCTATTACTTTACCCTGAGTCAGAAATCCCAGCTGAGGTAGAGAAATGCGTGGAATTTTACCTCTGAACAAAACGATCTAATATAAGTTTGCCGGCAAACGTTAAATGTCAAACATACACATATTTCCTTGTTGAGGGTAGAACTTCAGCCACTGCTTCGAACCTTTCGTTATTCATGCTGGGAAGATACATCCATGTAGAACCTCCCATTATAAAACACTCCACTGAACTGAGATAATCATCATCATTCATACCTCCCATGACTACAATTGTATTTCCAGTAATAACTGCACAACATTCATATCTCTTCTCCAACATGGATGGTAAGGCTGTGATCTTGCCCGTCTTGCAGTCATACATG